AAAGCTTCAACTGAAGGCGCTCTCACTTTTCTCTGCTGCTTGCAGGTGTCACAGCTATTCGGCCTATGGCCTCGACCCATGTCTCCCAACAGCTCAGCCTTATGGCTTGTCTCGACTCATCACCGGCCACCACAATGTTGTAGGAACATTTGCTCTCCTCAAGACTTCAGCTTTCTGAAGAAACAATGGAAACATTTTTGCAAAGGTCACAACTGTAGTTCTTTGTTGTTCTGTAAGTTGCAAGAGGTATTGCGTCGAGCCAACTTCCTGTATGTATATCTCCATTACCTTGGCGTTTACCCAACGGCCCCTGCGTTGAACAAAACTTGCATTTTCAGTGGTCTGAAGCTGCCATGTTGCGCCGCCGGGTCGTAATGACCCGACGTCCAGACACTTCTGTGCCTGGCAAGCTCCGGTGTGCAGCCCCAGCGCACCGAGAAGGTTCTTGAACCGCAGCCTGAAGGTCTGTGCTGAAAATGGCCATACACGACTCAAAGGAGGCAAGTTCTTGAACGCCATCTCGCAAACTCTCACAAGGTCCCCAATGTCGCACTTAGCATACTGGTGCCTTGCAGCAACGAAGCGAGTCTTAGGCTCTTGCAAAGACAACAACAAAAAGCTGTTTGTACCCAATGTATCCGACGGAAGAAGTAAATCTTTCCGAAAAGCCCCAGTCATCTCTGAGGTCCTCAAGAGAGCGCCCCATCCAAGCGACAGTACGCCAGCGACCTCAACCCAACCCCATGCGAGCGCAACGCTGAGCATTGCTAAAAGGATCTGCCAGGGCATCGCTATATGATGCACGGGTCTTTCTTCTCGGACCCATGCAAATGCCAAATCCCAAGCGGGTTGAAGCTGTCTTCTTAAAACAGGGCGGAAAGATACAATGCTGTTTATGGATTCAACGTATGTTCCATAAGGCTTCCCAGCCTCGTACAACCGTCGACCAAAAAGCTGGAGCACTTTGTTGATGGCTTCAACATTCTTCAAGGGCTCCTCTAGCAAGCATTGTATGTTCCAGCCTGCTCTGGCGCACCAGCCAAAAAGTTCTCTTAAGAGGCGATCTCTATTTCCAGCCGTCACTTCTGTAACTGGACGTCCAACAGGCAAAGGCGGCTTCAACCGCCGAGCAGACTGTCTTGCCCAGTCTCCAGGTGTCCGTGGTGCTATCATACCATGGCTAACTACCGGACCGGCTACGAGGACAGACAGGGAGATGACAGGAGGACACGGGAAGTGAAGTATGAGAGAGAAAAGTCCAAGGAGAAAGCTAAGAACTGAGGAAGGGGGACCTTCCCCAGGAAAGCCGAGAGTGCAATCGAAATCCAAAAATCCAAAGTTGAGCCGAGTGTCATGAGGGGGCCACTCAGAAGGGCTAGTAGCTGAAGTCCATTTCAGACCGTGACAACGTTGGCCAGGTTTTCCAACTGGCAAGCTGTTGAAGCCAAACAACCCGAGTGTCAACCTCACCCAATTTGATGCCCAACGTCTCAAGCCCTTCAAGGTAGCCAAGAACCTGATGTCATGCTCATTCATTGCAGAGAAGTCAACATTTCCCCAACTCTGCCGAAGGTCATGGTCACGAGTGGGATCATCTGCTGGGTTGTGCCTTGTCGGCACAAAAGGCAGAGAAAAAATACAAGCCTCCTGCAACAGAAAGAGCTCCAAACTTCCGCAAGAAGGGTGACAGTGCAATGCTCGAGGATCTTCCTTTAGAAGCAGCACACCTGATCACGTAGGAGTCGACAAAGTTGACAATTCTCAAAGGGCGAGGGACGCCAATCAATCGTTCAGCTAATCTGACTACACTCTTCATCTCCAACACATTGATATGCCTTTCCGTCTGGAAGGACCATGCTGACCTGGCCTTCCAGGAAGAAGAAGTGGCTACCAGGTTCACCAGTTGATTTTCCAAACCTTCGACTGGCCCAGACTCTTCAGTTCGGAAAAAATCCCTTCTGGCAGCAACAGCTTCAGCAAAACAGGCAGCAATCTCATGGGCGAGCTCATGGGTGTAGGATGCTGATGCTTTAGTATACCTGCCCTCCACAGGGATGTGACTGTGACCCCCCTTTGCAGCGTTTGCTCAGTCTATCGATGCCAAGATGCACTGCAATGAAGCGGAAACTCTTGAGATGTATTGAGCCAAAAGCGCAGGAGTCTGATCGCACTGTCGTCACTCCGGGCTTTTCCGCCAAAGCTCTCCAACTTGGAAGAAACCTCATCATAGACGACCACGGCTGCTCACCTAAGGCGGGCACTCCATAGCGGCGGGCAATGAAAAGAAGAGTCAAAGCCCTCAAAGCCAACACGTTCCCAAGCTGAGTCTTAGGATCACGAGGGTCAAACCCAAGAGGGACTGTCCTTGATCTCAGTCTAGGCCGACGAATGATGGAAAAAGTAGTGCAAACTGGTTCAACCATCAAGCTGCCAAGGAGACCGGCTGTGATCATATAGGAAAGCCAGCTAATCACCCTCACCAGAGACAGATCAAGCTCCCCACTGTAAGCTATATCGACTGGCGGCCCAACAACCATGCCCATTGATGAAGCTGCACTTGAGACCCTTGCGGACCCTGCATAAATTTCAATGAAGTCAAACTTGAAGGCTATAGGTTTCGCAGGCCTTTGAACAGAAAGATCACATGAGGAGGGATTGACATCCTCCCCAACTTCCTCAGCAATACCAAGTCGTTCAACCAGGAGTTCATATTCCGTCTTGAGGCGAGAGTATGCTCCTTTTGTTCTACAACACCGCCAAAGCTCTTGTGCAACTGCGGGTAGTGTGGTAGTCGAAACGATGGCACCTTTTGTATTTGAAGCATCCGTAGCAAAGATCTCCTCAGAAAAGTCAGCACCAATGTCAGACACCATGAGAGGAGCCAAAACGCTCAGAAGGCATAACTCATTTGCCACAGACCTTGGAAGAGCAACTGTCTTAGGAGCATCCGCATCAACACTAGCAGCATTGACAAGCTTATGTACTGCGGTGAGGAGGCTCATGAAAGGCCTGCGATACAGGATCATCGATGTCCAGCCACCAAGAAGACAAAGGTGAAGAGAGTCCGTCGTAGCCGGAAGTTGCGCAACCTGGAAGGTCACCCAGCTTAAACTCAAGCGTTTCCCAATCGGCGAACCAACAGAAGTGATCCCACGGCGAGCAGCATGGTCGTTGGAATTGATCTCAGCCCCAATAACTTTAGCCCTTTTTTCGCCTGTGACATCTTTTTGCGGGGAGCCAATCAGGTCATACTCTTTGTATACCGCCTGACTTAGGGAGAAACATCTTGCTGCAGCACTTTGCTCTGGAGCTTGACGGCGAGGTTCTCGGGAAATCGCAAAATAATCATCGATAACCAAGCCATCTGCTAAAGGCCCACCTCGGAAAGGACTGTTTGCAACCAGCCGTGTAGAGCTCGACAAAAGGCCCTGTGACTGCAAGACACTTTCATGAGAAGCTGTAGCAAATTCAACGCCTCCATGATCTCCCTGGAACAAGGACTTGAAGCAAATGAAAATATCATCGCTCAGCAATGAAGCACGCTTTGTCTCAGAGGGCTCATTCATCAGATGGAGCTGATCACCTTCGACCTCCCGAGAGCGCTTCACCTTCCTTCTGCAAGCTTCTCTAGAGAGCAGCTCACTGTAGGCGTCTAAATCAGCAACATCAGCAGCAGTCACCGGAGGGCCTACCGCATTGGCTGCAGCCTTAGCTTCCGTGACAGCAAATTGATGATAAAAATCACTTCTGTCTGTGCAGTAGATGTAAAGGGCCTCCTTCCTCCCGTTGAGATGGAGGTCTGTCAAATCAGGTCCTGCAGGAAGATGCCGAGAAGGGCCATGCACCTTTGCTTCCTGATAGTTTCTTCCACGGCGGTCGCCGATTTGTCGGTCACACTCCTCATTTTTGAAGTTGTTGAACACCCTTGTAAGTGACTCAGCTTCAACTGGACCTCTCCGCAGAAAAAGCAAACCTCTTGCATCCCATATCTTTGCCAGCTGTATAATCTGCGTTGCATCATCGGTCATGATGGGGAAGTCACCGTACTGGGGCTGTCTATCACACAGAAGCAAATCTGGCATCCTATACGCCATGAGCAGCTCATCACCCAGATGTGGTGTAGCATCAAAACAACCATGGCCCTTGATGCTGAGTCTGTTTGCATCCAGCGGCATATACGGCTGGAGTTGAGGTAGGACACTGTTGTTCAGGGGAACTTCATGGCCATGGTAGAAACGGCTATAGGGCCCTGCAGCTCCAAGCTTTGTTACATAGTCAGATATTTCTCCCAGTCTTGCAACTAATTGAGGAAATCTTCGACCACAGGCCAACACCTCGAAGGTGCCGGAATCAGGGCCGTCAGCCGCCAAAACATCCATCAACTTTCTGTATACGGTCCGATGGGCCTTTGATGGATGCCTCGTCAAAAGCACCTCGTTGGGGAAACTCCTCAAACCTCCATGCCAAAAATTCAAAGCCATCACCAGAACATGAAGAGTCCTTTTCAGATGAAGGCGACGTCGGCGATGAAGAGAGATGGATGACGGCATCCTTTGGAACACTCCTGGGGACGGAATGGGCAAAGGGAAAAGCGGCGATGTCGAAGTCACAGAACTCCGAGGCAAATGCAGAGTAGTTTTCAAAAATGCAGCAAATGGCATCCTGGTCCTCAAAACATTTCGAAGCAACCCAGAGCACCACTTCCAAAAAGACAAAGTCGGAGGAACACCAGCGCGATCATGCATATTGAGCGAATCCCTTCTAGGACCACGACTCTGTTCAGTCCGCTCACCATTGCCCGGGATCCCACTATGGTGAATCTTTCCATTTCGAAGTTTGAAGTCACCATTCACGGAGAAGGGAGCGGGCTCATCGACAGGCAAGTAGTTCCCTTCACAAAAATAAATTCTGGAATTCTCCGGAGCAGGAGAACAGATTTTCCTCCTGCACCTCATGCACTTGAAATCATTTTTCACTTCTCCCCCTCCTGCGCCTGCTTCGGGCGCTTCGGAAACCTGGGCTTCCGGCGGGGGGAATCTAGGTTCACACTTTCTGAACTTGCTCCTTCTTTTGGCACAGGACCTTTCTTGGCTTCGGGTTTCTTGTTTGCCAACACCTCCATGTCCCTGATGTAGCTCAAAGTTGCTGCTGACCACACTGGAGGAATAAGAGGGCTGAAAGGTCGTCCTGTAGCCATAATGGCCGCTGCCCTCTCCTGAAAAAGTTGAATGGGTGGCTCTTCGTGCAGGCTGATCAGGTATGCAACTGACCACTCCCCATTGTCGTAATTCGCCTGCTCGATTGCCATAGCCAGGAGAGCAATGATCTCCTTCACTCCCGCAAAGTCGTCTTGAGCAGCAGCGTCCACTGCATGGCCCAAAATCCATTGGATAAGTCCCAGGGTCTTCTGGTTTCGATAACCCCCGGACTTCGACAGGTACTCCAGCATGGAGATCGACCCCACTTCTTCGACCGACCGTGGCAGTGTGCGCCCCGGGGTAAGTTTCTTGTGGATCTGCTGCATGAGGAGCAAAAAGAAATTGCCTGTTCGACTTGCCAACTCTGACTGCAGCTTCTCTCTTCTTTGTACCCCTTTCATGGAAGAGGAGGTCGAAAAGCCGGATTGGAGATCGGTCAGACAATCGCTCGACTGATTTGCAAAATGAGCCACCAGCGCTGTGAGGGCATTTGATTGCTGACTCAGTGCGTTCACAATAGCTCCATGGTTCCCCTCGCCCGCGTCTAGCCCCAGGAGAACAGCATTGGGATCTTCTGGAGCCTGAGGAGCAAGAACCTGCTTTGTCTGCACCTTTCCCAACTGGGTTCGAGGAGGAGGACCAATCAACTGCAAAGCCTTTGGCACGTCCAACGGAGGGCCACCCACGGAAGCGAGGCCTTCTGATAAGTCCGGCAGCTTGTTGACATTGCCACCGGGTGGAGCGACGGCAGCGCCTACAGATGCAGGGGCCACCTCTGCCTTCTTCTCCAAGACATCTTGTCGAACGGACAGACTTTGCAACTGTGCCATGATCATGTTCATCTGATCCAGAAGAGCGGCATTCGAAACTCTCTTCGCTGCTGTTGCCTTTTTGGGAGGAGCTCCAGACTTCTTGGCTGCTACACCCGGGTCTTCTTGAGCCGAGTAAAAACCAGAAGTCCCATCCGTTCTCTCATGCAGCCACTGCCTCACCTTTCCCAAGAGCGCCTCCAAATCCGGAATACATGCAGAGTGCTCCGAGTGGAAAGGGCAAATGTCATGATCACTGTCCGTAACAGGGTCATAGGCTCTGCTATAGAACAAGATCTCATCCGTCACATCAATGGCCATCACCGGGCCACTTATACCCAAACTGACAGGAGCCCCTGTCTCATCCTCTTCAACCATAGGCACGTTCAAAATGGTGCCAATGCCAAGCCAACTAGGCGTCATGTCGGGCGATTCACTCTCACTGATCAAACTCTCATCCAAAGCACCGTGGGGGACCGCAATGAGGAAGCCTCCATCACGCGGGATGAGCGGAATGGCAAAAAGCTCAATCACTGATTCCACAACAGGCGGAGTGAGGGTAATGACAATCAGTGAGTAGTCATCCCTCACCGCCGCAAACCTCACTTCTGAGCGCTGCATTGATACAATGGAGGAGTATCAATGCCGTACGAGGCGCAGAAGACCTGTACCTCAGTCAACGATGCAAAGCCCTGGTAACACGGCTCCTCAGCACCTGGAGGAATAGAGGCAAGAAGCTGGCGAAGATCTCCAATCTTTCTGACTCTAATCGGCCCAGTCGAGCGAGGATGATTTGCAATGATCCACTGAGTATCTGACAATGAGATGGCCTCTGCACGGGTGTACGGCGAATGAGTGCTAACCGCTGCCCAAGCCCAAAACCCTGCACGCCAAGCTCGAACAACTCTATCTCGAGGATCACCTGCCGCTGACGAAAGCTTTCCAGCAGCAAGGGTCAACAATTCAACTGGAACGGGCTGTGGACCGTCCTCAAATACACGACGGAATTGAAGTGTGACCTTGAAGGGCTGCTCGGAGGTGGGTTCAACCAACTCCCAACCAGCAATGGAGACCGTAGGAGAGGTAGGAGTCGATGAGGTCGAAGATGCCGATCCCTCAAGCGCTAGACTCAACCTGTTCAGAGCACCAATGAGCAAGTCAATGTCACTCTTGGTGATCGGGAGGCTCATCCACTACTCTGAGTAAGCTGCCAATCGTGCCCTTCTCTCAAGACCAGCTGGTCTATCAGGAGGGGAAGGAGAACGGAACCCCTGAGATGCCTGGTGCCAAAAAGGGACGCGGAACTGCAAGGAAAACCAGTGAAGTGCCAGCACGAAGATGCAAATGAAGGCCACAAGTAATCCTAAGCAAAATCCAAGGGCAATCCAAGGAAGGCAGCTAGAGGAGCAATGGAAAGGACAGGTAGCGAGAGAGGAAAGGTCAGACAAGACCGACGCGAGCTCCAAGACACGCTGGAAACTAAAGCCCTGCATTCACTTGAGCGGAGAGCGACCAACGAACAGCTTTAGTCTGTCAATTATGCTGCTTTCCGTGGAAACACCTTGGAAGCCGTGGAGAAAGGCCACACCAGTCCTGGCCCTGGCCTCTTGTGCCTTGCGGTCGTCTGCCCGTGCGGCAGCCGCCGCAGCCTTCTCGGCCTCTTCAGCCGGTTAGACATATATTCTAAGAACTATTCCACATAAATAAAAGGGTAAACGCGTCGGCATCTTATAGGCTAACACCGGCAGGGGATGGACAATAGAATCGTGTCATGTTTTTTTCCCGAGATAGCGAAGCTATAGGGATTCTTACTTCTCAATGGATGGGTTCCTGATTGCGCTTTTGGCTGCCGCTGCCGCCTTGTCTCCCAACCTTGTCTCCCTTCATGATTTCGCTCTTGGCTGCCACTGCCGCCTTGTCTGTGAAGCTTGTCTTCCTTCATGATTTCGCTTTTGGGTGCCACTGCTGCCTTGTCTCCCAAGCTTGTCTCCCTTCATGATTTCGCTCTTGGCTGCCTCTGCCGGCTTGTCT